CATGTAGACGGATAGACGGATAAATCAATCAATCAAACAACAAGAATAAGGTATGAAAGGGGGATGCTGTGCTGATGAAGAGAGGAGGAGGAGACTGGAGCATGTGTGTGTGTGTGCGGTTCTACCTGTGTGGGAGAAAGAGTCTCCTCCTCCTGCATCTACACGCACACGCGCACACACACACACACACACACTCATAATGTCCATCATTATCTGAGCTCTGACCAGCTTCATCAATGCATGGAGAAGTGAGAGTCTGTCTGGAGAAGCGCTTCACCCCACACTGAAGGTACGCTTTACTTCTCTCTTATTTCCTGCAGGATGTGTGTTTGGCAGATCTCTGGAGCTCAACAGGTTCTGCTTTCCTCTTTATTTGCTCTCTTATTTATTCTCATGCTGGAGTTGATCAGAATTGAGTTCAACAGATGAACATCTTCAGTGTTGGTTACTTTAATTTCCTAATGAAGGCTTTATATGTAGTTTGATTAGTTATTGATGTAGATTAAATCAGTTTGCTCCTCTGTTTTTTAAATATGTAATATATTGTAGAATAAATTGACCCAAAATGACTTTAATGATCTCTAAATTCTGTTTTAATGTGAATAAAAGTGTTTAGTTTTGAGCGAGCTCATGGATATTAATGGGCTGTTTGAAGATCCCTTCATTTTAGAGAACATAAGCTTATTAAACATCAATAAATCAGCTGTTTTAATAATATTTTGATCTGAGTAAACCCAGAAACTGACATTATTACAGTTATCCCATAATTATACATGTTTTAAATAGTTTATCTTATATTTGAGAGTCACAAATGAGCTGAAACACTGAATATCCTCCTCCGTCACTGTCTTCAACATGAGCATCATCACCCTGAATCCCTTTGAAATCATTTATAATAATAATAATAATAATAATAAATGTTTATTGGTCACTAAATCCTGTTTTATGTTAGTTTTGAGTAAGCTCGTGTTTATTCATCGGCTGTTTGAAGATCTCTTCATACAGAGACAATATGTTCAGTAAACAGCAGTTTGTTTTTTAATAATATTTGAGTAAATGGTCGTTTATTGTTTATTACTGTAATAATATTATTCTACAGTTTGTATTTTTATGTATTTATAAATTATCAAATTTTTTATTTTATCTTATAGTTGAGTTTTCACAAATGAGCTGAAAACTAAATATCATCAATGTGTTCTTCAATATGAGCATCATCATCATCATCATCATCATCATCATCAATCTTAGTTTTTACCATTTACTTAGATTAATCAGTTAGTGATGTATTAAAGAGATCAAACCAAAATGTGGTGATTTAATTATCAAACATAAATTTTGCATCATTTTAAAGAAGAAATTTGATCCATGATGACGTTCACAATGCAAATTGATCACCAAATCTTGTTTTAATTTTTATTAAAATGATGATTATTTAAATGAAATTAGCCCAAGCTCATGTTTATTAATCAGCCGTTTCCATCATCTACATGCGTTCAGCTCAGAGAAAATATGCTGTATTAAACAGCAGTAGATCAGTTGTTTTATAAATAATATTTGAGTAAAACGGGCATTTATTAAATATTAGTAGTATAATATAATTAGTATTTTTATAATTATATATCATTCAATTTATTATTTTTTATTATATTATATTTTATATTTCAGTTTGTCACAAATGAGCTGAAAAAGCAAGTATCCTCCCTGTTTCCTGTCTTCAGTATGAGCATCATCATCATCAGTCCTTTTATATTTAGCTTCATTCATTATTGATGTATTAAAGAGAGTGATATTTTGGTCACTTGTTAGTCAAGATATATATATATATATATCCTATATATATATATAGGATTATATATATAAATAACAATTTTTAGGGTAAATTTGACCCAGAATGACGTTCCAAATGCAAATCGATCATCAACTCTTGTTTTTATGTGATGAAAATGATGATTATTTGAATGAAATTAGCCCCAGCTCATGTTTATTAATCAGCCGTCTCCATCATGTGGGTCTGTTCAGTTTGATCAACAATAAAATATGGTGGATTAAACATCAGCACATCATTTGCTTTAACTGTATTTTGATTTGACTGATATTAATAGATTATTATGATTATGAAATTTTATGGGGGTTGAGTTTGTCAGAAAAGAGCTCAAAATCAAAGATATGATCATCTTCATATTTGAATTGTTTTCAGCCTGTGCATCATAATAAATGCTTTATATTTATAATTGCTGGTGTAGTCAACAGATTCAATCATGTATTGTTGATCTAAAAGGGCTTCATCACTCTCTAAATTTCAGTGTAAATAAAATCAGTTTGACGGCGCTCATGTTTATTATAGCATATCAGATCAATGAGAAATCATGGTGTATTAAACATCAGGCGTTGAGCTGTGATTTGTGTTAATTGCAGCCTGATGTGGTGTGGTTTATTCTGATTAAACAGATCCACATGTGACGCATTTCATATTCCTCTGCAGAACAGATCTGTGAGTGCTCCGTCTGATTATGTCCTGCTGTGAGTGGATCTGTGGTTAAACAGATGTCTGAATCTCAGTAAGAGCGGTCTGTTTCTGGTATTTTACTATTTGCTTGAAGGAGTTTTGGTAGTAATGAATAATGCAGACATGTTAGTTACAACATAATGATTATTTTAAAGCTGAACAGATTCACACATCACATATTTCACCTTTAATATCTGATCTGGTGTGAAATATATCTGTTTTTGTCCTTGAGTTGTCTTTAAATGTGTTGGGATTGCTGTAAATCTGGTCCATGCTGGTGTTTAGACTTTGCTCGAATGATTTTGGCAGTAATGAATGAGTAATAAGATGTTAATTATGACAGAACCGCTCTTACTGAACTTGTCTGCAAGTGTGGTATTTTATATTTGATTGTGTTGAGCTCAGTGTTTTTGCTTCACTTTGCTCATGTTTGGTTATGCTAGAAGGATGTTTACTGGTAATAAATAATGTATGACATGTTTATTATAGGCTAATAATAATAATAATAATGTATTTATGTTTGACCGTTGAACAGATTCTTCATGTCAGTCTGTTAGTTTATTGGTGTATTAAATTGGATTTTTGTTGCTTGTTGACGTGTTCATTTCAGCGTAACGATTAATCGAACATGCGCTCACATTGACAGATCCTCAAGTGAGGAGTTTTACATGAGATTGTGAATATATTTGAGTCAGTGTTTTCGGTGCTTTCTTGCTTTGTTTAAGTTTGTGCTTGTTTTTTGTCTGTTTGCTTGTTTGTTTTTGTGTGACATTTTCTTTATTTGTATGTTTGTTTGCTTTTGTTTGTGCTTGTTTTTGTATTTTTTGTTTGTACCACTGTTTTTGTTTGATGTTTTTTTGTTTATTTTTGTTTGTGTGCTTCTTTGTATATTTGTAAGTTTGTTTTTCTTCATGTGCTTGTTTGTTCGGTGCTTGATTGTATGTTTGTTTGTTTTTGTTTGATGTTTGTTTGGTTTTGATTGATGTTTTTTGTTTGTTTCTGTGCTTGTTTATTTTGTCTGTTTGTTTTTATTTGATGCTTTATGTTTGTTTATTTGCATGTTTGTTTTTTGTTTGTTATGTTTGCTTGATATTTTTTGTTTGATATTTGTTTTGTTTTGATTGATGTTTTTTGTTTGTTTGTCTGCTTGTTTATTTTGTCTGTTTGTTTTTGTTTGATGCTTTTTGTTTCTTTGTTTGCTTGTTTGTATGTTTGTTTGTTTATTGTTTGAATTTTGTTTTGTTTAGATTGATGTTTTTTGTTTGTGTGCTTGCTTATTTTGCTGTTTGTTTTTGTTTGATGTTTTTTGTTTGTTTCGTTTTTGTTTGTTTCTTTTTGTTTGATGTCTTTTGTTTGGTTTTGTTTGATGTTTTTTGTTTGTGTGTTTGTTTATTTTGTGTGTTTGGTTTTGTTTGTTTTTTTGTTTGTATGTTTGTTTGCTTTTGTTTGTGCTTGTTTCGTTTGATTCTTTTGTTTTTTTTGCTTTTGTTTGTGCTTGTTTTTGACATATTTTTGTTTGTTTGCTTTTGTTTGTCCTTGTTTCTGTTTGCTTGTTGTTTATTTAAGATTATGCTTGTGTTTTGTTTGCTTGTTTGAATGCTTGTTTTTGTTTGTTTGTTTTTTGACATTTTTTGTTTATTTGTATGTTTGCTTGCTTTTGTTTGTGTTTGTTTTTTTTAGTTTTTGTACCTTTGTTTGACTTTTTTTTTCTTTTTTTGTGTGCTTGCTTGTTTGTATGTTTTTTAGGTTTGCTTTTGTTTTTGTGCTTGTTTGTATGTTTGTTTGTTTTTGTTAGATATTTTTTGTTTGTTTGTTTGCTTGTTCGTACGTTTGTTTGGTTTTGTTTGATTTATTTTGTTTGTTTGTTTGTTTGTTTGTTTGTTTGTTTGTTTGTTTGTATGTTTGTTTGCTTTTGATTGTGCTTGTTTTTTTCTTTGTTTTTGTTTGTATGTTTGCTTATTTGGTTTTGTTTGATGTTTTTTGTTTGTTTGTATGCTTTAGTTTGTTTTAGTTAGTTTGTTTGTTTTAAAGTTTAAAATAAGCTAGAAAATCTGTGTTGAATATCAGTCTTTTATTGGTGGAATGGTTAATAAATGAAAGGTCATTTTAGATAATTCCATTCAGGCAAAGCTGGATATTCATTAAGACACAGCTCCTGTTTTACATGTGTATTTTTACAGGAACGCATCACATTTATCATCTTAAATCACTGCAACATATTTTGTTTTTCAGTGAACATCAGTGCTGAATGTACTTTATCCCACTTATTACATGGCTACTGGCCACAAAATCTAAACATTAGACACCTAACAGTGTGTTTTGAGCTGTAAAGGATTATAAACTCTTTAATTGAATGCAAAGAAACAGAAACAGCTGATGGAGTATACACTAACCTGCACATTTCCCAGACACTAGATGGCGCCAAACTAAACTAATTTTAATTCTATTTTTGTGTGTGTGTCCATCAGAGCATCTCCTCCTCAGTCTCCTGTGCATGCCCATGCTGAGAGGCAGACCGGCGGTCACACACACACGCACACGCACACACACACACATGTCCTCCGTCAGCGGCTCCAGCAGCGCCGCCGGGCCCCGAGAGGTGGAGCTGGTGCTGGTGAAGGAGCAGAATGGGGTTCAGTTCACCTCCTCCAGCCTGCGGAGCCCCGGTGCGCACTCACACACACACACCCACTCTCACACACACCCGTCCGGACAGCAGCGTGAGACCTGGGGCAAGAAGATCGACTTTCTGCTGTCCGTCATCGGCTTCGCTGTGGATCTGGCCAACGTCTGGAGGTTCCCATACCTGTGCTACAAGAACGGCGGAGGTGGACAAACACACACACACACACACACACACACACACTGATGAAAAAAATAATGAAGCCCAAACTGAAGATTCTGTGAGCGTCCCTCACAGGTGTTTTCTCTCGGTGTGTGTGTGTTCAGGAGCGTTCCTGGTGCCGTATCTCTTCTTCATGGTGATCGCCGGGATGCCGCTCTTCTACATGGAGCTGGCGCTGGGTCAGTATAACCGTGAAGGAGCCGCCGGCGTCTGGAAGATCTGCCCCATATTCAAAGGTACATGTCCAGCTGCAGAGAGCAGATGACAGGTGCTGGTTATCACGCGCACTCAGATGGAAGACACACACAAATGGGCTTTTAGCACGACACACTTTGCAGGAACGCAGATTTGGTGTCACTTCACCATTAATTTAGAGTTTAGAGGAGACGCTGGACGACAGTGACCTTCACTGCTGTTGTACACACACCTTTACAGTCTGCAGATGAGTTATCCGAGTCGAAAACACACATTAAATCAGGCTATATAGAAGCAAAGCATCTGTTTAACTGTTCCAAATAACTTTTGAGCCAAATATGTAAGAGATAAAGCCCATTCAGGAGGTTATCACGGAATAAAGCTCCACATATAAGGGTTTATTCTGCAAAAACAGCCACCTCAATGTACTTTTGCAGTCTGCAGATGAGTTATCAGAGTCGAAAACACACATTAAATCAGGCCATAGGGAAGCAAAGCAATTTGAGAAAATAAAATGCATGCTTTGCTTCTGTTTAGCATTATTTAATATGTGTTTTCAATACCTATAACTCATCTGCAGACTATAAAAGTACATCCAGGAGGCTGTTATCACAGATTAAAACTTGATATATATATATATATATGGCTATACTGTATATATGACTGAAGGGTTTATTCTGCAAAGACAATCGCTTGCATGTACCTTTACAGTCTGCAGATGGATTACTGGAGTCAGAATAACACACTAAATAATGCTAAATAGAAGCAAAGCAACCCTTTCAAATAACTGATTAAGTTTCGAGTTAAATAAATGACTGATAAAGCACATCCAGGAGGTTGTTATCACAGAATAAAGCTCAACATGTGGGAGTTTACTCAGCTGAAACAACCTCCTGAATGCATTGTGACAGTCTGCAGATGCGTTATAGGAGTCTCATGGTAAATACTGCTGTACAGGAGCATGACTACATCCAGATGTGTTATTTATAGCAGAATAAACTCTTATTGAGCTCCACACGGTGGTTCATCTATAACTTATTTCACTCATCTGCTGACTCTAAAGGTACATCCAGGAGGCTATTATCACAGATTAAAGGGCAAGTTTATTTCTACAGCACATTTCATACACAGTGGCTATTCAAAGTGCTGTAAACAGGAATAAAAGAGACAAATAATACAAATGATAAAAAAAACATAAAATAAATTAAAATGAGGTAAAACAGGTTATAAAAGAATGAATAAGAAGAGAAAAGCATAAGAGTGTGATGTGTGTGCCGCAGCACAGCGCTCATTCAGTAAAGGCTCAGCTGAACATGTGTGTGTTCAGTCTGGATGTGAATGAGTCTGATGTTGGAGCACATCTGATCATTTCTGGAAGCTGGTGTAGTTGCTGAAGCTGATTCACCCTGCTTTGACTATTTAAATCTCCAAATAAACGACTGAAGGGTTTTTTATCTGCCAAAACAACCTCCTGGATGTACTTTTACAGTCTGCAGATGAGTTATAGGAGGCAAAATCAAGCTAAATAAAAGCAAAGCAGCCATTTCAACTAACATGAGTCAATATATCCAGGATGATTTCACAGAAATGAACTCAACATATGATGGGTTGAATAAAGCATATTTAAAATTGCTAAACGGAAGCATTTCATTTAATATTTCAAATAAAATCAAGATCATTCATCATCATATTTACAGTTAAATCCATCAATCCATTTAATCAGACTTCATCCATAAAGTGCTTTAAAAACAGCCAAAGGGAAGGAAAAACTCAGACAAGAGATAAAAGGCAATTAAAATGGACAAAACGACACTGCAGAAACATTAATTTGTCTCGTTTCTAGTGCAAATATCTAAAACTCTCAGACCAAGAAGCATTTTCCAGACAAGCAACAAATATCGTGCTGTTTTCAGAAATAATGAGTCAAAATGACGAGAGTTTAACCTTAAACAAGCAGAATAATCTGGCAGAATGGAGGAGTAATAAATACATGTCGAAATGAACTGTGGAGTTATTTATCTTCCCCGTGATCAGGTATCAGTGCTTGTTTTAAACTCTTTTCATTGAATTGCTCATCCAGAAAATGCTTCTTGATTTGAGAATCTTTAGATATTTGCACTTGAAGCAAGACGAAATACTTTTACACTCTAAAACTAATTAAAAAAAGCAAACTGGCTCGGCCCTGAAGCCGCTCTGCAGCTCTGTTTCTGTGTTCCTCAGCTGTGTTTGCTGGACAATGTTAATAAATAATAAATGTGTCAGATCTGGTTATAATGAAGCGCTGTTGTGAGCTGGAGCTTCATCTGTCAGGATGGAGAGACGCTTTAATCAGCAGCTTGTGCCTCTGCTCCGCCTGAGATTACTGTAATTACCGCTGATCAACATGTTTGCTTCCTCAGGATCGATCACACGTGTGCTGATAATATACGATGGAGAATCCTGCTGTTTGCTCTCCTCCTGCACAGAAGAGACCCGCGAGTGTCCATCTTTCTGTCTGTGTGCGCTTGACTAGAGGAGCGGTGCTAAACTAAACCACAGGTGTCCTTCAGCAGAGAGAGATTACGCTGCACTCTTGACTCTTTCCACAGAGAGAGAGACGTCATACAAGCAGGATAAATGATTTACAGCATATCATACACACATCACACCAGCAGCTTCATTCACTGCAAACAATGCTGCTCTTACTCAGAGTTTTGCTCTTGTTTCTAGTCAGAATATCTAAAAACTCTTTAATCAAGAGGCATTTTCCAGACAAGCAAATAATACAGTGTTGTTTCAGAAATACTGAGGCAAAATGAAGAGAGTTTTCCCTAAAACAAGCAGAATAATCTGATGATGGGGGAGGCAGAAGAATCTTGCAATCTTAACACGCCTACTTCACTACATCCAATGAACTCACAGTCGAAAAAACAAGCCACACCCACTGTTTTCTCAATTGATATTCTGTTTCTATAGAAACTGCTGCATAATAATAATAAAAAATAAAATAAAAAACATTCGCAGCTTCCAGTTCATAAAGACATTATGCTAGAGAATGTGCAGAGCAGTGGGTCATGAGGACCAGGACTGAGACCTGCAGAGCGGTGCGTTTCTCAAATGATACTCTAAATGGGGTGGAGGAACCCCATCATGTATTTGTGCAGATTATATTGTTTAACATGCACACACGTTTAAAAAAATAATCCAATATTAGTTTAGTGGTAAAAGCATGCACTCGCTTTCCATATTACCTGAAATATATATGTAAACAGCACATATAGAGGCTGTGTTTCCTTCACAGATATTATAGAGAGCATTACACAGTCTATTCTAAAACATCAAATCACTTACAACAGCCATATTCTAATACAAGACATATTCTAATATCATACATAAATCATATAAATATATAATGAGGCTGTTTGACAATTAATTACATTTAATATTTATTAGGAAATGAAAAATCATACTTTAATAATAATAATATTAATAATAATAATAATATTTATGAAGATAATGATTATTATTAATACTATTGTTGGCAGTTCATGCTGCTGTGGCGACCCCGGATTAATAAAGGGACTAAGCAGACAATGAAATGAATTAATGAATACTATTATTATTATTATTATTATTATTATTATTAATATTATTAATATTATTGTTGTTGTTATTGTTTTAGTATTATTCAATATTATTATTATTATTGTTGTTGTTTTATTATTATTATTATTATTATTATTTTATTATTATTGTTATTATTATTATTAATTTAAAATTTAATCTTAATTATTATTATTATCATTAATATTATTTTTAATTTAAATTACATTTTTATTATTATTATTATTATTATTGTTATTATTGATTGTTATTATTATATATTTTTTTATTTAAATTACAATTTTCATTATTATTAATATTATTATAAATTATTATTATTATTATTATTATTATTATTATTATTATTATTATTATTAAATATGATATTGTTTATTTGTTTGTTAGTTTTTTGAAAAGTCTACTTTGACAATTTGAAACCACAGCAGAAATGTTCAAGCCAGCAGGCTCACGGTATTTACAGTACAGATACTTCATAAATAACCCACTGTAAATGAAAAGCATTAGTGTATGCTGTGTGTATTTTGTTTTCACAAGCTTTGGAGACGCAACAAATTCCGCTTTTGAATATGAGGTCACCTGTAGCTTTCGTCATGAGCCACGGCTGTGTTCAAAATGACATCAATGTTTTCAAAGTGCACTGCGAAGGGAACACAGTTGTAAACATGAAGATGGCTAAAACTGAACTGTAGAAATACTCTGAAAGCAAATTACAGCTAAGAGAGACGAGCTTAAAGTGTGTATGGGGCAAGGGCACAGGGGGAATAGAACACAGCCAGGATCTCTACACTACAGCTCCAGAGGTGTACAAGTGTACAAGTGTGTGATGCAGTTTGTGAATGTTCATTGGAATGACGGATTTGGGGAACAGCAAATCAACAAACGCTGTAACGACAGAACTTGTGACCTCAGTTGGCCAGCGATGGTTTTGGGAAACGCTCCCCTGATGAGTTGTTCTTACAGCACCAGTGTGTGTTTGACTGAGGTGTGTGTTGTTTTATCAGGCGTGGGCTTCACGGTGATCCTGATCTCGCTGTATGTGGGCTTCTACTACAACGTGATCATCGCCTGGGCTCTGTTTTACCTGTTCTCCTCCTTCTCCGGGGAGCTGCCCTGGATCCACTGCAACAACACCTGGAACAGCCCCAACTGCTCCGACCTCAACGCCACGCTGCTCAACGACACGTACAAGACCACGCCCGCGCTCGAGTACTTCGAGTATGTTCAACACACCACACACACACACACACACACACACACACACACACACACACACACACACACACACACACACACACACTGTTTGTACTGTCACTTCACAATCTTTTATTCTGACTGAATTATCAAATAAAATGTCCCCATAAGGTTAAATTAACTGGTAATGCTATACTTGTGGGGACATTTGCCCCATAGTGTAATACCATAGTATGATCGGCACTCACTCACTCACACACTTTCGTTTCACGTTTTCCAGCGCTCCTGACAGTGTGTGTGTGTGTGTGTTTATGTGTGTGTGTGTGTGTGTGTGTGTGTGTTTGTCAGGCGGGGTGTTCTGCATGTTCATGAAAGCTCTGGTATTGATGATCTGGGTGCGCCGCGCTGGCAGCTGACCGCCTGTCTGGCCGTGGTCATCGTGGTCCTCTACTTCAGCCTCTGGAAAGGAGTGAAGACGTCTGGGAAGGTCTGAGCTCAAAACACACATTCAGCCCGCCTCAGGTGCACTGCAAAACACTCACTCATTCATTTCCCTTCAGCTTAGTCTCTTATTCATCAGGGGTCGCCACAGTGGACTGAACCGACAACTATTCCAACATGTGTTTTACACAGCGGATCCCCTTCCAGCTGCAACCCAGTACTGGGAAACACCCATAGACATACATTCTCCCTCTCTCTCTCTCACACACACACACACACACACACACACACACACACACACTAATACAGTACGGCCAGTTTAGTTGATCAATTCCCCTATAGCGAGCCAGCTGAGACTCGAACCAGTGACCTTCTTGCTGAACTAACCACTGAGAGACCGTGACGCCCATTCAGTAATCAGTGAAGAGTAGTTTAACAAGCATTGTGTAAATATGATGCATTGATGTTGTACAGTGATGTGTGTGTGTGTGTGTTCAGGTGGTGTGGATCACTGCCACGATGCCGTATGTGGTCCTGACCGTGCTGCTCCTGCGTGGCGTCACTCTGCCTGGAGCCATCGACGGCATTAAAGCTTACCTGAGTGTGGACTTCCTGCGCCTGTATGATGCTCAGGTACACACACACACACACACACACACACACACACACACACACACACACACACACATCTGTGCATCGACTGATCAAATGGCATTTCTTCTTCTGCCACTTTTTAATGTCATTGTGTGTGTGTGTGTGTGTGTGTGTGTGTGCGTGTGTGCATGTGTGTGTGTTCATACAGTATGGATGGGTTGTGTGCTTGTTTGTGTATGCATGTTTCTGGATGTTTTTGTTTTGTGCATGTGTGTGTGTGTGTGTGTATACGTGTGTCTGGGGGTGTGTGCGTGTGAGTTCATATGTATGTGTGTATGTTTTTGTGTTTGCGTGTGTGTGTGCATGTGCGCATGTTTGTGTCTGTGCATATGTATGCATCTATGTTTGATTGTGTGTGTCCGTGCATGTGTGTGTACTTTACGTGTGTGTGCACATGTGCACACTTGTACATGTTTGTGTGTGTGCTTATGTATGTTTGTGTGCATGCATGCATGTGTGTGTTCATGTGTGCATGCTTTTGTATGTATCGGTGTCTGTTTGCTTGTGTGTGCATGTGTGTGTGTGAGTTCATATTTTTGTGTGTATGTTTTTGTGTGTGTTCATATGTATGTATGTATGTGTGTGTGTGTGTGTGTGCGTGTGTGTGTAAAGCGCTCATGAGTCATTATCATTACAGGTAGAGTTGTTGTCGTCTTCAGTAATGCGTGTGTGTGTGTGTGTGTGTGTGGGTGTGTGTGCGTGCGCTCATCACAGGTGAGTTGTGGTGGTCTTCAGTGAGTGGTGGTGTGTCTGCAGCAGCTCTAGGCACACAGACACACAGACACACACACACACACACACACACACACACACACACGCACACACACACATACAGAGCTCAAAGCGGCACTTTGAGAATTAGATTAGACACATGTGTGCAGCAGCAATTTGCACAATTATCCTGCATTCAGCAGCGTCTTTCATCTTTGTGCTGAATGAGTTTCCTGCAATTATCTTTAATGACAGCTGTTGTGTGGCCCTTTGTGTGTGCGGTGTGTGTGTGTGTGTGTGTGTGCGTGTGTGTGTGTGTGTTTCAGAGACGCCATCATCACCAGCTCCATCAACTCTCTGACCAGCTTCTTCTCCGGCTTCGTCATCTTCTCCTTCCTGGGATACATGTCACAGAAACACAACGTGGCCCTGGATAAAGTGGCCACTGACGGTCAGTGTGTGTGTGTGTGTGTGTGTGTGTGTGTGTGTGTGTGTGTGTGTGTGTGTGTGTGTGTGTGTGTGTGTGTGCGCGTGTGTGTGGAGAGAATATTCACTCTGTATTGTACAGAAGTTGAGCAGATGCAGATGATGCGCAGGCAGTGATGGGTGCGTCACTATACTGGACCCACACAGCACCTCACTCACACCACTGCCAACAGGTGTGTTGTTAATTAATAATTAGCTATTATTAGTTATTATTATTTATTAATAATTAATTAATTAGTCATTAATACACACACCTGAACAGTATGATAATCCACCATCTCCGGTCTCCAGCACCGCTGCTGTATGCACTGTCCAGACGTTGTATCTGGGAGTGTATATATGTCTTAGCACCTCCTCCTCTTTCTGTGAAATGACTCTAATCGATCAGTGGAGTGATATGGAGCTCTAATGTGCTCTAAACCTGCCGGAACTACTTCAGTATACAGCTGTCAGAGGGTGGATTTCTCTGATGAATCTTCTGCTGCATCCCAATCATCACCAATACTGCAGAAGACCTGCTGGAACCAGCATGAAGTCAAGATTCTGACAGAAATCAGTCAAGTTTGGTGAAGGAGAAATCATGGTTTGGGGTCATTCAGTATGGAGGCGTGCGAGAGATCTGCAGAGTGGAGGATCAACATCAACAGCCTGAGGTATCAAGACATCTGTGCTGCCCATTACATTACAAACCACAGGAGAGGGACAATTCTCCAGCAGGATAGCGCTCCTCATACTTCAGCCTCCACATCAAAGCTCCTGACAGCAGAGAGTGCTCCAGGATTGGCCAGCCCAGTCACCAGACATCAACATTATTGAGCTGATGAAGGAGGAGGTGTTGAAGATGAACACAGAGACTCTTGATGAACTCTGGGATCCTGCTGAAGCTTTCTTCTTCATTCCAGATGACTTTATTAATCAGTGATGTGAGTCATGTCAGAGATGTATGGATGCAGTCCTCCAAGCTCATGATGGAGTCAGACAGTTTGAAGCTGGTCTTCTTCTTTGTGTGATATTCCTCATAAACCCCTCTGAATAATTCCTCTTCATCCTGAGAGGAGAATCAATATGAAAGCTGAATGTCAGAAACCCGTCGATCTGTCCGACTTGCACAACATTTCATAAACACACTGCTCATTATTGCCTTCTTTAAGACATTTCCATCCTCAGACTCCTGCTCAAATGCACAATTATTATTTATTTTAATTTTACAAATATGTTCAAATGTCTTAGATTGTTCTGGAACCGCTTTTGCCTTCAAAACTGTGTTAATCCTTGGTGTTGTAGATTCATCAAGCTGCTGGAAATATTCCTCAGAGATTTTGCTCCATATTGTCATGATAGCATCACACAGTTGCTGCAGATTTGTCGGCTGCACATCCATGATGCCAATCTCCCGTTCCACCACATCCCAAAGCTGCTCTATTGGATTGAGCTCTGGTGACTGTGGAGGCCATTTGAGTGCAGTGAACTCATCGTCATGTTCACCAGTCTGAGATGATTGAGCTTTATGACATGCTGCGTTATCCTGCTGGAAGTAGCCATCAGAAGATGGAGACACTGTGCTCATAAAGGGATGGACATGGTCAGCAGCAATACTCAGGTAGGCTGTGGCGTTGATGCTCAATTGGTACTAATGGACCCAAAGTGTGCCAAGAAAATCTCCCTCCTGGAACCAGTCTGGCCATTCTCCTCTGGCCTCATCAACAAGGCATTTGTGCCCACAGAACTGCCGCTCACTGGATATTTCCTCTGTGTCGGAGCATTCTCTGTAAAGCCTAGAGATGGTTGTGCGTGAAAATCCCAGTAGATCAGCAGTTTCTGAAATACTCAGAGCAGCCCGTCTGGCAGCAACAACCATGCCACGATCAAAGTCTCTTAAATCCCCTTTCTTCCCCATTCTGATGCTCGCTCTGACCTGCAGTCTTGATCATGTCTACACGCCTAAATGCAGTGAGCTGCTGCCATGTGATTGGCTGATTAGACCTTTATGTTAACGAGCGGCTGGACAGGTGTACCTAATAAAGTGTACATGTAAGTTATAGTCAGTAAATGTTTTGATCTGAGCTAATGAAGAGTTTGTTGATGGTTTGGTCTGCAGGTCCCGGCCTGGTGTTCATCATTTACCCAGAAGCCATTGCGACGCTGCCCGGCTCTTCAGTGTGGGCCGTCATCTTCTTCATCATGTTGCTGACTTTAGGAATCGACAGCGCTGTGAGTATAAATGCTCACTCTCCAGCAGAAGAAAACACTCTAGATAGACCTGTGCTGTCTATACCTGTACACAGACTGTTCACTGGCGTTACGAATGAGCGAAAGTACAATGCTCAGCCTGGCCATCACAGCACAGTCCCACCCTCCACTCCAAAGAGCCAATCATAGTCCTTATAGCCGTCCAGCTGTTTGGTAGGAGGGGAAATTTACTTGCTTGTTAAGGAAACACCTGTCACTTGTTGATTAATGTGATGATTTTGACCAGAGAACATTTACTTTTAGATATTTAGCCGATGTTTTTGTGTGTAGTGTACACCCCCGTTCACTTAAACGCTGGTTTAGTCTGAACTGAAGCGGAGGCGTTGCGGATATCTGCTGTTTTTCAGATGGGAGGGATGGAGTCTGTGATCACGGGACTCATCGACGAGTTCAAGTTCCTGCACAAACATCGAGAGCTCTTCACACTCTTCATCGTGGTGTCCACCTTCCTCATCTCGCTCATCTGCGTCACCAACGTATGTGAGAGTCTGACCACCATTGTGTGTGTGTGGGTGTGTGAGTGTGTATGGGGTGTTTGGGTGTGTACCTTTTATTCCTCTGTATGGTGATATGGAATTCACTACAATAACGAGAACAATTAAAACAGAAATAAAGCATTGATAAATTAGTGGCTTATTTCCATCAGCTCATATCGATGGTTTGGCTGAATCACCAATTCTATTTCTTTGACTGAAATAATGACTATTATATATTACTAGGTCAATATCATTACCCCCCTTATGAAAATATATTTCTTTCTGATTGTGTACAGAACACAGTGGCTCAGTGGTTAGCACTGTGGCCTCACCGCTAGAAAGTTGCTGGTTCGAGTCCCGGTTTCCCCCACAGTCCAAACACATGCGCTATAGGGGAATTGATCAACTAAACTGGCCGTTGTGCATGAGTGTGTATGGGTCTTTCCCAGTACTGGATTGCAGCTGTAAGGACATCTGCTGTGTAAAACATATGCTAGAATAATTAGTGGTTCATTCCACTGTGGCAACGTCAGAAATAGAGACTAAGCCAAAGGAAAATGAATGAATTTATGAATGTCTACAAAACAAGGCACTGCAGTGACTTGCCGAATTATCCTAGTGAAGCCTTTAAATGTCACTTTAAGCTGAATAATGGCACCTTGCAAAATACCTAGTAAAATATAATGTACTGTCATCATGGCGAAGAGAAAGTAAATAGATGTGTTACTAGAGCATTTTGTTTAAACATATCTCCATTAAATGCACTTGGGGAAATGTTCATCGTAGGGTTAATCACTGTGTCTTCATCTCTCTGTTGCTCTCTCTGTAGGGTGGTATCTACGTGTTTACTCTGCTGCTCTCTTTGTAGGGTGGAATCTATGTGTTTACGCTGTTGGACCACTTCGCTGCGGGGACGTCAATTCTCTTTGGAGTACTAATTGAGGCCATCGGCATCGCCTGGTTTTACGGTGAGCTGCAGCATTTTCTCCTGCAAGCTGATGCTGCGTTAGAGACTGATGTGTTTTCAGACAGTGTGACCAACCACTCGTCTCCATCATTACAGTGTTCTCTCTCTGTTCAGCACCACAACACTCCACAGTGAGAGATATTGATCCACATTGAGCTGAAACAATATTACAACCTCAAAAACAAGAGCATGCAACATTACTGAAGGTGTGATGATCGTTAAAGTAGCACAAATAAACAAACAAAGGACATTATCAAAATCCGCATTATTATGTTGACTGTTGTCATTAAATGTATGTATTTTTCATTTTATTTCATAACTTTAGGCTGTAATTTGATATTCAACTTTCCCTCTATATTGTCATTTAGATCTAGCTGTGTTGACCATCACACATCTCAAAAGTGAAGAGTTTTAACTTTAAAACAAGAGCTAGTAATGCTGGAAAAAATAAATAAACTGCCTTATTATTATATTTGACCCAACATTGGGTTAGAACAGCCCATAAGCTCATGCTAAGTAACACTGAACAACTGCATCTTCATCATTTACTAACATGAACACGTGCTGAACTGAAGGCGTTGCTCCTTGTTTGTTCATGTGAGTGAATGCACTAATACAGCTGTACGGTAAAGTGCTACAGATTGTTCTTGAATAGTCATATCTCTGGGGGTTTCTGAGTATTCTGCACTCTGCTGGTGTCCTGGAAAGCCGCTTCTCGGCAGCGAGGCTTGGGCATGAACTCTGCGGCTCTCCCTGAGGCACGGAGCGGCTCCCGGAGACCTGAACTTCAGCGTGACCCGGTGAGTCCGCCCGGGGGATCAGAGCAGTGGTGAACCGCAGATCCAGAGGCGGCGGGTCACAGCAGAAGCAGCGCCCCGGGCCGCTCTGGCCTTTTGGAAAGCCGGAGACCCATAGCTCCACCAGCCGACACACACGCTCCAGTCAAGAGGATCTCAGGAGTCTCAACCTGCAGTCACTGCAGAGCACCGGGGAAACTGTCATGTTCACTGTGCTCATGTGCTGCAGATATTCAGTTAAAAACGTAACGTATAGTGAGAAGCAAACTATAAACAAAACAACTATAGTAATTGATCTGTTGTGGTGATTCTACAGTTGCTATGGTAACACAGCAACTATAGTAATTGATCTGTTGTGGTGATTCTACAGTTGCTATGGTAACATGGTAACTATAGTAATTGATCTGTTGTGGTGATTCTACAGTTGCTATGGTAACATGGTAACTATAGTAATTGATCTGTTGTGGTGATTCTACAGTTGCTATGGTAACATGGTAACTATAGTAATTGATCTGCAGTGGTGATTCTATTGTTGCTATGGTAACATGGTAATTATAGTAACTGGTCTGTTGTGGTGATTCTACAGTTGCTATGGTAACACAACAACTATAGTAACTGATCGATCATGGTAATTCTACAGTTGCTATAGTAACACATTAACTATTGTACTTTGCTTGTTGTGGTGATTCCATAGTTGCTACGGTAACAGAAGAGCAACAGGGATTAATATGTGTGTGTGTGTGTGTGTGTGTGTGTGTGTGTGTGTGTGTGTGTGTGTATAGGAGTGGATCGCTTCAGTGATGATATCGAGGAGATGATCGGTCAGAGACCAGGCCTGTACTGGAGACTGTGCTGGAAGTTTGTGAGCCCGTGTTTCCTCCTGGTGTGTCTGCAGTCTTTCTGATACACACACACACACACACACACACACACACACACACACACACACAGTCAATAAATGATGGTGGTTTTCTCTTGATCTCAGTTCATGGTTGTGATCAGCTTCGCCACCTTCAATCCTCCCAAGTACGGCTCCTATTATTTCCCCACGTGGGCGACGATGGTGGGCTGGTGTTTGTCCATCTCCTCTATGATCATGGTGCCGCTCTACGCCATCTACAAGTTCTGCTCGCTGCCCGGAAGCTTCTGTGACGTGAGTTTTTCCAGACTGATTCTGCCCGCCGCATTAAAGATAACTTATGTGTATCAGCTCTGCATTACAATCAGTCAGCGCTGCAGAACGACAGTGGAAACACTTCAGCTGCACTGAAGACAGAATCATTCAGCTTCATTCAGTTACAAAATGCTGTGTGCTTGATCAATTCTGAAGCCAATTCAGTTCATTTGAACTGTTGATTCAGTTTAGATCAATAATGGTGCCGAAGTAGACAATTTAAATGTTGATTTAAGAGTCAAAGTGTCTGCTATGATGGAAATTTGGGTAAGTGTTGATTAAATTGAGTTGATTAATTGTCCCAACACTGTAAATGTATGACAGGTTTAATTCAGCTCGCTGTTGATTCAGTTAAGAAAGAGTCAATGCTGCACATTTGATCAATTATGAAAAATTGTATTTAATAATAATTGCATTGTTGCAAATTTCACCAGGTTTAATCAATTAAATTCAGTTCTGGTTAATAATATGTCATGTTTGTTTTTATCCAGAGTGACTCACACTACATTGAAGATCCACAGTTAATCTGAATCAGTTATGAGCGAGTGCATTTCAGGCTAATGTTAGTACAGGTCAATACCAGAACATGCAGTTGTGTGTTCAAACTTGCTCATTACCAATTGATCAACCATATTGAACACATCATAACCCAGATTTTAATTTCTATGTGTGTGTGTGTGTGTGTTCAGAAACTGGCGTACGCCATCACTCCTGAGACTGACCATCACCTGGTGGAGCGCGGTGAGGTGCGGCAGTTCACGGTGAGCCGCTTACACACACACACACACACACACACACACACACACACTGCTGTTTCATGTGTTTGTTCACACCACAGAGATTACATAAATTTAATGGGTGAACTTTCAATTATGCTAAACATGACATTTCCCTGCGCTGTTATCACAGACAGAGCGCTTTTAGCAGTGATGAGCCTCTAAAGCTCCTCGATAAGAGCAGAGCAAAACAGCGCTGGACACTCACTACACTCAGTATCCTGCACTGCTGCATTCAAGAGTTTCATTTCATTTGAGCAGACCTACTATCAGCTCACAGCATGCCCATGCAGGACACTACACTTGTCCTGCACTACACTTCCCTGAACAGGAGTTAAAGAAATCAACACTGATAGGAGAGATGAGTGATTGAGTGAACTAGCTGAATCAGACTGATCAAATTCATGAGTCAGTGATTCAATGATTCAAATCACCTGTCTGGAGTGAGTCTCCAGTAAACAACTCACTGAGTATAATATTTGTTCAAAGTTATAATCGCCAGTAAACAACTCACTGATTCGATTGATCCATTAAGAGTGAGGCTTCAGTCAACATTTTAATGATTCAAATGATCCGTTCAGAGAGAGTCCGCAGTATAAAAAAAACTCACTGATTCAGATGATCTGTTCAGAGTGAATCTGCAGTAAACAACTCACTGATTTAAATGATCCATTCAGAGTGAAAAAGGGAGTCAAATGATTTGTTCAAAGAGAGTCACCAGTAAACAATCCACTGAGTGCGAGTCTTCTGAGTTACCATTAACAACTCACAGATTCAAATGATTCACTCAGAGTGATTCTCCAGTCAACAATTTACTGATTCAAATGATCCATACAGAGAGAGTCTTCTGTAAACAACTAATTTATTCTAATGATTCATTCAGAGTTGTTTACTCCTGTAAACAACTCACTTTTTCCAAATGATTCATTGAGTGTGAGTCTCTTTTAAACAACTCGTTTATTTAAATGATTCATCCAGAGCAGGTCTCCAGTAACCAACTCAACTATTCAAACGATTCGTTCAGAGTAAGTCTCTGGTAAACAACGCACTGATTCAAATGGCCTGTTCAGAGTGAATCTTTTGTAGACAGCCGACTGATTCAAATTATTTAATCAGACTGAGTCTCCTGTAAACAACTCAGTGATTCAAAAGATTTGTCCAGAATGATACTCCTTTAAACAATTTGTTTTTTTTAAATGATTCGTTCAGAGTGAGTCTCCTGTTCACAACTCTCTTTTTCATATGATTCATTCAGAGTGAGTCTCCAGTCAACAACTGAATGATTCAAAAGATTTGAATAGTGAACATGTCTGGTTTCTCACAGCTCCATCACTGGCTGGTGGTTTGAGCAGCTCTCCGTGATGATGATGATGATGATGAAGATGATGGTGATGAAGATGAAGGACTCGGCTGGACGCGTGTGGCTGCGAACAGAAGAGTGTTACTAGTTGTTTCTTTCCTGCATAATCGGCTGTGTGCTGTTTTCGTGACTCGATCACACTGTGGTTCTGTCAGTATCAGTTCTACTCTCAATATACGATGACTGTTATGATGGCTGATGTTGTCCCCACTGACCCTCCCTCCGTCTGTCCGTCTGTCTGCTCTTTTCTTATCTTCTGTGACCAGAGTATAACTGAGCCTTATTAATAAATGTGACGGGAGTCTACACAGCGACTCCAGCTTAGAAAGTGTACATAGAGCAGAAGCAACTCTCCCCTCGCTGTGTCTGAGATGTGCAAATGCAGAAATATGAATATGAATATAAATATAGATGATGTGTTGAGTCTCATGCTTGCTTACAGTATCCATCAGATGTGTGATATATGTGAGCGTCTCCTCACCGGTGACTTTAGATCACAGTAATAATCAAGTGTAGCGCTGGTCTGTCTGATCAACAGCCGCTTCTAAACTCAAGCAGGGACCCGGCATTACTCACGGAGCTTTACATCTCGCAGTGTTGATCCTGCAAACGCCGCAGGATGTACGGGATTTCTGTCGCGCTGAATGTTGTGGTCCACTACTGTATTTCAGTTTTATTTACATCGCAGTTTATTACAGATGATCAGAGTCTTTACATTGAGTCATTTCAGTGGCTGCAGGAATGTGTCCACTACTGGAACATGTCAATAAACAGTGTTTATGTACAAAATACACCAGTGTGTCATTCATTCATTTTTCTACCACTTCTCCGGGGCCGGGTCGCGGGGGCAGCAGTCTTAGGAGAGAACCCCAGACTTCCCCTTTCCCCAGACACTTCCTCCAGCTCCTCAGGGGGATCCTGAGGTATTCCCAGGCCAGCCGAGAGACATAGTCCCTCCAGCGTGTCCTGGGTCTTCCCAGTGGGACCTGCCTGGAAAACCTCCCTAGGTAGGCATCCGGGAGGCATCCAAGACAGATGCCCGAGCCACCTCAGCTGACTTCTCTAGATGTGGAGGAGCATTGGCTCTACTTCTTACTACTTCTACTACTTAATGAGTGTAATCACGCTGGATCACACTCAATGAGGGAATGAGCTCCCCACGAGAACAGAAACCAGGAGAGCAGAGCCTTACATGCCTGATATGGAGGTATTCTCATTATGTTGAACACACGGAAGAAAAGAGGATTATAGTGCACACTGATTTACTGAACTAATGACACTAATAAAAAAAGTAGCACACACTGCCAGGGCCGGAGCGTCCATTGAGGCGACCTAGACGGCTGCCTAGGGCGGCAGAATAGAGGGGGCGGCATCCCCGACACTACCCTCACCACCCGCACCCTCAGTTATCTCTGCGTGTAGGGCGGCAGAATAGAGAGGGTGGCGTCTAAAGTTTCTAAGGGAGCTTTCACATCTGTAGTTCGCTTCATTTGGTCTGGACCAAGGGTAATAAATGATGCATTGTTGCATGTTCTGCTGTCTTTAGGTCGTTTTCACATCATACTGCTGGCTTTGGTCCGAACCAGTTGAAATGGACCAAAATGCAGTCATGTGACAAAATCCACATCTCTCATTGGCCAGATGTTGTTATTTCCTAAACTGCTTATTGATTGGTCAGAATTCACGTGCGGGAAATTGGCAGTGAACTCCCGCAGGTAAACAAAACCTTTTACTCTGGAGGGGCGACTGCGCTGGCTGATTGTATCCCTGCTTTAGATAAACTATACATTACGAGAGTGAAGCGCGGCCGCGGCTGGAAAACAGTGTTTAATGCATCACTCGTCCCTTCAGGAGGAGGCGTGAATTAATTTAGCTAAACTGCGACATGCTCATCTTGCGGAAATATTACCAACGATCCATCAGGTGATGTTTTCCCCTCTCTCTCTCTCTCTCTCTCTCTCTCTCTCTCTCTCTCTCTCTCTCTCTCTCTCTCTCTCTCTCTCTCTCTCTCTCTCTCTCTCTCTCTCTCTCTCTCTCTCTCTCTCTCTCTCTCTCTCTCTCTCTCTCTCTCTCTCTCTCCCTCTCTCTCTCTCTCTCTCCCTCTCTCTCTCTCTCTCTCTCTCTCTCTCTCTCTCTCTGTTGGTAAAGCGCTGTCAACATATATTTTTCCTCCATATCCCATAATGCACAGCGCATCGGCCTACGGCAGCTGGATTAGTCCAAAAGGTGCAGAACTTTTTGTGGTTGGACCTGTTTTAGTACGGATCATATTCTCACCACAAACGAACCGCTCCAGGGTTGGTTTGAAAGCGTACAGAGAGCACCTCTTCAACAGGTCTCGGTACTTTTATTTTGGTCCTTTTTCGGTGTGCACTCGAGTACGCCTGCTGCATTCACACCTGCCCAAACCAACCGCACCAAAAGGGGAAACAAACTCTAGTGCGATTCAATCCAACTAAATAAGGCAGGTGTGAAAGCACCCTAAAGAAACTGTCGCCTACACTGGTGTCAACACAGCAGTGTTCTGAACTCATCCACACCAGCATACATGTTAACACAACCATAATCATACAGGATTGAAAATGTCAAATAATGAACCAAAGCTCATCACAAACAGGTAATGCATCCCGATAACACACATGTAGATAAAGTCATGCAGTAATCAATACTGATCAACATCAGAGGTCAGATTAAACCACTGCGCAGCACTGACAACAAACAGCAGCACAAGTGGAGCATCAAATCTACACAATCAAAAGTCAATGTACAGTCGTGAACCGCATATATATATATATATATATATATATATATATATTAAATAAACATAACATTAACCAGGTTACTGATACAGCACACACACACACACACACACATACATTCATTCATTCATTCTCCTTCAGCTTAGCTCCTTTATTCATCAGGGGTCAACACAGCGGAATGAACCACCAAGTTTTACACAGTGGATGCCCTTCCAGATGCAACCTATCACTGGGAAACACCCTACACACACACATACACTATGGCCAATTTAGCTTACCCAATTCCCCTATAGCGCATGTGTTTGGACTGTGGGGGAAACCGGAGCACCCGGAGGAAACCCACGCCAACACAAGGAGAACAAGCAAACTCCACAAAGCAACACCAATTGACCCAGCTGAGATTTAAACCAGCAACCTTCCTGCTGTGAGGCCACAGTGCATGGTGTTACCCCCTTTGATACTGCTTTGAGTGTATTTATTTCCTAATGTAAGCATGATGTTGTGAATATTGATGGATGAATGTCATTTACTACCTTCAGAGTTATGACAGCATGAGGAAACATGGAAGCGACTCTTGATCAGCTCAATACCTGCATCTTTAATCAGCTAAGCTGAAGAGCAGGGAATATTTATAAGGATGTTGCTGTTAACCCAGCGCCACTGTCTGTGTCTGTGTGTGTGTGTGTGTGTGTGTGTGTGGTCAGATTGGTGTCAGTTTGTCCACTCAGTGTCAGCAGCTGCCGATCAGCTTCAGTCAATGACAGTTAGTGTGTCTAAATCAGCTCATTTATTAGCCTAATGTCAGGCGGTGTGTGTGTGTGTGTGTGTGTGTGTGTGTGTGTGTGTGTGTGTGTGTGTCACCTCTGAAGATAGCAGACGTCTCCATCTGTGCTCAGGTGTGTGTGTGTGTGTGTGTGTTGGTCCTCCATGATTGAGGCGTCTCTCCTAATGAAGACTCTGCATTCAGGAACACACAAGTCATCTCCAAAAAGGCCAAAACAATTACTGAGCAGCGCTGCGGCCAGCGGAGCCTCTGCCTTTACCTTTATTAAGTGCTTGATCATTTGTTATGTAATAATCCGACCTTTCTGTCTGATGGTTTATCGACTGACCAAACAGCGCAGAAGATAGGAGCGCCAGAAGCACGGCAGCTGTCTGTGCATCAGCAGTAAATAGAGGAGCGTGTGGATGTGGAGGTGAACACATCCATCATCTGAGTGTGCAGGAGCTTCTGTACCGTCAACATGCCGAGCAGCTCCAGCGGTGCACTCATCAGGGTGATGTTCCAGAAATAATCAAACTCATTCAGTTTTTGCTTTGATGACACTATCGTGCTGGTTTTAAAAGGCTCTATGATGAGAATCCTCTTCTGTCAGCTGTGTGGACTGAGCTCTGTGTGTCCACTGTTTTCATTTCCTGATGTTAAATCAGCATCCAAGCCTGACTGATATAGCATCTTACCACAACCAGTCGGCTAAACTAAACTCTAAAACTCACCATGATGAGAACACAAACAGCACAACAGCATGATGCACTAACTAATATCAACAGCAAGTCTAAATGAATAGGTTTGAGTTCTGCTTTAAACAGTGCCGTCTCTGTAATGATGTGAAGTTCTACAGGCAGGGTGCTCCACAGTTTTGGACCTGCCCCATTAGATCTGGGGACCTCCAGCAACAACTGCCCCGCTGACCATAGGGCCCTGTTCAGGTTATAAACCTTTAATATCTCACATAAACATGAGGTCACTGGTTTGAGTCCCGGCTGGGTCAGTTGGTGTTTCTGTGTGGAGTTTGCATGTTCTCCCCGTGTTGGCGTGGGTTTCCCCCTGGTGCTCCGGTTTCAGTCCAAACACATGCGCTACAGGGGAACTGATCAATTAAACTGGCCGTAGTGTGTGAGTGTGAATAAGTGTGTATGGGTGTTTCCCAGTACTGGATTGCATCCTCTGTGTAAAACACATCCTGTAATAGTTGGTGGTTCATTCCACTGTGTCGACCTCTGAAGAATAAAAGGACTAAGCTGAAGGAAAATGAATGAATAAATGAAGTCAATGCATAAAATTATGGGTCTGACACTGAATTAACACACACACACACACACACACACACAAACACACAAACACAAAAACATGCGTGCTTACACACAATACAGATGCATGCATACACACACACACACACACACACACGCATATGTGCGCACAATCATGCCAGCCTGATCTCATGAGAAACGTAATTAATTTACGTTGTGTCCATTTAGAGGCTAATTCGTGCACGTTTAGTCGTATGAAAATGTACGATATTAAAAAGGAGGCGTGGCACCCAACCCAACCCCGCCCCTAAACCAGTCACAGTCAGTGATGAGCGAATCGTACTAAACTGTTCGAGTTAGATCGTACAAATTTACAAGAATAAGCCCCTGAATCAAATAGTTAGGATTACCGTGAGATGTGTGGTGTAAGGGAACAGCTATGCAGATTTGACGCTGTCTGCTCTACTTTAGATGATTTAGATTCATTGATTATTGACTTATTGATCATGTTCAGTGATCTGGCCTGTGCCGCTGCGCTCATGACATCTTTAATATCTGAGCTCTTCCTCAAAATGCCACGCCCCACTTCTCTCCACATGCCCCGCCCTTGCACACTTGCCCCTCCCACTTCTCCACCATGCTCCTTTATATTTTCAACAAGCACACACACACACACACACACACACACAGATGAACACGGGCTCTATATGTCACCAGTTAGTATTTCATTTCACATTGCAACAACATTTACATCAGAATGAGCCAAGTGTGTGTGTGCGTGTGTGTGTGTGTGTGTGTAAGTGGTATTTTCCACAGTAGGATCTGTTTAATAAGTGACTGATATATTGAAACGAGTGTGTGTATGTGTGTGTGTGTGTGCTGATTGTTTACGTTTGAGGAGTAAAGCTGTGTGGTATTGTATGTTGATAAGTGTGTGTGTGTGTGTGTGTTGTCAGTGCTCGTGTTGTCAAAGAGCCTCAATTATGAAGCACTTTAGGCCGGAGTGTAAACGCTGCCATTACTCCTGCAATACAGCCGCAATTACCCGTCAGAGTCTGAGTCTAAAAGCAGATTCACAGAGGACAACAACAAGAGCACAAGCTCCTCATCTGTTTACTCATCAACACACACACTCGCACAATCAAACATGTGTGTGCGCACACACACACACACACACACACACACACACACACACACACACACACACACAGTCCCTCTGTCCCCTGTGAACGTTAATTTGCATAAATATGTTGATCATAGTGGAATATTGCTCATGATTGGCTCTTTATTTCTCATTTGAATACTCATTTTTCATTGGCTGATGTGACCCAATGGTCTAACCCATATTTTCCCTAAATGTTGTCCTACCCAAGGCTGGGTTAAAATGGGTCAGTCCATATTTCACCCACATATAATCGACTATTATTGGCTTGAACAGTAATTCTGAACCGCGGAGCTGGAAGGGTTGTGGTGTGTTGTGAAGCGCTGCCCCTCAGGCTTCAGTCCTCCTCCTCAGCTGGACACAGTGCGCCATCTAGTGCTCAGACATGACCATGCACATCTCAGTGACTCGGACAGATATACCAGAGGCAGAATAAGAGAGACAGACTAGTGATAGGACAAGCAGCCAGACAATTACAGAGAATAGATACAATTTTACAAACGGCGTCACAGTGGCGCAGTGGATCAGTTGGCGTTTCTGTGTGGAGTTTGCATGTTCTCCCCGTGTTGGCGTGGGTTTCCTCCGGGTGCTCCGGTTTCCCCCACAGTCCAAACACATGCGCTATAGGGGAACTGGGTATGCTAAAATTGTCCATATTGTATGAGTGTGTGTGTGTGTGAATGAGTGTGTATGGGTGTTGCCCAGTACTGGATTGCAGCCGGAAGGGCATTCGCCATGTAAAACATATGCTGGAATAGTTGGTGGTTCATTCCGCTGTGGTGACCCCTGATTAATATAGGTATTAATGCAATAAGAAAATGAATGAATGAATGAATTTGGCAATTGTGCACAGTATATTATATTGTATTACTATATACTATACTGTATGCACACTAGAAACGCTATTTATGGGTGTAATAGGGACTAAACCAACTGCTGGCTTATTTATTTATTTATTTAATGAACTAATAGGACCAAGTTTAACCCAATGTTTGGGTTAGTCCAAATTTTGCCCAATCTGTGTTTAAATAACCCAGCATTTCTTAGTGTGTATAGCTGTATTATGAGCTAAATCAAACTGTTAACTATGAGTGTTAAATAAATAAGTGTATTAGTGTATACATAACGCTTTTTGTCCCGCTATCATCATCTTCAAGTGTTCATGAGATGGACTGCCTGAGGGAAGAGACTGCGCCTGCGTTATATTACTGTACTGTAGATGACAATTATACAGACAGGAGGAAAATAAAATCCCAAAAGCCAGCAATGAATGTGTTGGTAAATGCTGAACACCAGCTCATATGTGTGCATATGGAACATTAGTGAGGAGAGGGCTGCACGTGACTTGAAGAAGATGCGAAGTTGTTGTTGAGTAAATAATGATCTTTAATAGCTGATCATTTGACATTTCCCTGTAAACCCGTTATCATTTATTTATTTATTTATTTATTTAATAATACTAAGATAAACACATATACTTTTAGATCTAATTCAGACTAAAAATCTGACTAAAACATTTAGTCTTTTAAACATTGTCATTTAGTTAAACCCTAATATGCAGACATAAACGGGAACCACAAAATCCAGAAAACTGCTGCTGTATGGATATGTTCTACAGGAAAGCAGTAAAGCATGGTTATCTCAGAAGGAGAGAGCGCGGTTGTGGACCGTAATGTGTGCAGGGATTGAGTAATGCAGCAGATCTCCAGGCCTGTCTTCCCTCGACACTGATCTGGAGAAAGCGCTTCACACACTGTTGTTACGCGACACACACCAAACAAACATGTTTTTTGTTCCAGGATAAAAGTAGGTTTGAGCAACCAGGGGCTGCAGTTGCACATCAGTCCCTCAGTGTCCAATTAGGCGGAGCGGAGAGCCGGTCCATACTGTACATCCTCAGACACCATACTGTAAATCCTGATCTGATGCTGCACCTCTGAGAAGTACACACAGTGGCCTGTACACACTGGAAAACATGGCTGTGATGGTGGAAACTGTAAAAATGGTACAGCAAACATAACCTGGGTAACAGTAAGTTTTCTTCATATGTACACTCACCGGCCACTTTATTAGGTACACCTGTGTAACTGTTCGCAAATGTCTAATCAGCCAATCACATGGCAGCAGCTCACTGCATTTAGGCATGTAGACATGATCAAGAGGATCTGCTGCTGGTCAAAGCGAGCATCAGAATGGGGAAGAAAGAGGATTTAAGAGACTTTGATCGTGGCATGGTTGTTGCTGCCAGACGGGCTGCTGCTCTGAGTATTTCAGAAACTGCTGATCTACTGGGATTTTCACGCACAACCATCTCTAGGCTTTACAGAGAATGCTCCGACAAAGAGGAAATATCCAGTGAGCGGCAGTTCTGTGGGCGCAAATGCCTTGTTGATGAGGCCAGAGGAGAATGGCCAGACTGGTTCCAGCAACAGTAACTCAAATAAGCACTCGTTACAACCGAGCTCTGCAGAAGAGCATCTCTGAACACACAACACGTCCAACCTTGAGGCGGATTGACTTTACCAGAATTTCCTTGTTTTGTCTTGTTTCTAGTTGCAGTATCTAATAAATAATAACTCAAAATGAAGTGAGTTTTGATTAAAACAAGAAAAAAATATGTATTTTTTTTTCTTTTGACAAGATTATTTCACTTCCCTCATTGTCAGATTATTTTGCTTGTTTTGATGATAAACTGACTTCATTTTGACTCATTATTAATGAAAACAGGACAGTATTGTTTGCTTAGAAAGTAATTCAAGTATTTTTTCATATAGAAACAAGATGAACACTTTTAAATAAGCAAATCATTTTTTTGCTGTTCAGAGTATTCTGCAGCCAGAGTATAATCAGACCTGTGTAAGTGCTGCTGGTCTCAGGAGTGTGTGTGTGTGTGTGTGTGTGTGTGTGTGTGTGTGTGTGTGTGTGTGTGTGTGTGTGTGTGTGTGTGTGTGTGTGTGTGTGTGTGTGTGCCATTAGCACTGAAGACTGTAATAAAGTCTCTATAGAAACGGCTGGAGGAGCACAGCTGATCAGCAGTTCAGCACCTCTGCATCTCAGGATATCATCATCATCATCATCATCATCTCCCGGATCATCAGTGTTTGCGCGGTGTGTTTTCTCTGTCTGTCGGACTCTGAGGATGTGTTCTGCTCTGGGCATTCATCAGTAACTCCTCGGTTTAGCTGTTCTTCATCAGTGAGGATGAGTGCGGAGAAGCCCAACTTCCTGTCTCAGCCCGAGGTGAAGAGCATTTACTTCTTCCGCAACGGAGACCCGTTTTTCGAGCCCCGGCGGCTGGTGCTGAACGCGCGGCGGGTGTGCGGGTTCGAGGCGGTGCTGCGGGAGGTGACCGGCGGGGTGCGGGCGCCGTTCGGAGCCGTCAGGAGCATCTACACGCCCCGCGGCGGACACCCGGTGCTCTCGCTGGAGGAGCTGCGGAGCGGGGAGCAGTATGTGGCCGCCGGCAGAGAAAAGTTCAAGAAGATCGAGTGAGAAGGGCTTATAATAGCTGTCTGTCTGTCTGTCTGTCTGTCTGTCTGTCTGTCTGTGTATGTTTGCATCCATCTTCTCTTCATTCCACTCATCCATCTGTCTATATAGCTGTGTTAAAGGTCTCGTCTTGCTGTAAAGTGTGTGTGAAATCAGATGTAGTGTTAGCCAGTGCTTAGTATTCTTCAGGTGAAAGCATGATCCATGCAAGTTACAGTTTTTCTCAGTCGCTTTGGTGCGTTTCTCACAACACCAGTGCATTTCTGCACAACAGTTAATGCAGTTCTCAAAACAATTAGTGCAAACTGCAAAACCTGTAGCTGATAACCTGCAAAAGCGCGTCACATGCTCAAAATGGAGAGCTCATTCCTCAAAAGCAAGTATTGATGTCAATAAACGTGTCAGTGTCATCAAAATGTGTCCTGACACCCTTGTTTATGAACAGGATAGTCAGATGGCTGTGTCATGTTTTTATTATGACAGTTTTCTCTGGACATTTTTTTCATTGCAAAAAAGTCTGATTTTGGTGACACTTCCTGAAAATGCTCCAGACAACATTGTTGCATTTGCACAGCCACAAAACTACAGTAAAGTTAGACATCACTGCACTTAGCCAGCTGAGTACAAGACACTGAATATGTATGTTTCACAGTTTTACTGCATTTGCTCTTTGCAATTCTAATTTATTCACAGCATTGTGCAAAATAATACATATACATCCTTATTTACAACGAGCATAAGCTTCCTTTGGGTTGAACTGTACACAACTGTAAACAATATTGCAGAATGTATTGGAACTGAACCTACAACACACACAGGTCTGATAATCATTCATCAAATTGTTTAATTTTTAAGACAGTTTCAGGAAAATAATGATTTAATTTTTTTATAAAATTTGCTTGACAGATTTTGACACTAGTTCAACATTTTTGTATGTAATGACTCCAGTAATGAAATGAGCACTATTAGTTTTTTATGCAATGACTATTCAGCATTTACAAGTTTAGTTCATTTTGACTGACGTGACATAAGCAGATGATAATGTTATAAACAGCAGAGAGTTGTGTGAAAGCTATTGATGCATGTCCAAAAGCATCTGCAGTTTGTTGGAAGGAATGAGAAACTGCTACTGTGATGTGCACAAATGACTAATTGTTTTGAGAAATGCATGAACTGTTTTGCAAATGTAAATAGTGTTGTGAAAAATGCACCACAGCCACTGAGAAAAACTGTAATGATACCATCACAACATCTGCAGAAACACCTGACTCTGAGATGTAATTTGTTGTATTTGTATTGTTTCTAGTTATTCGCAGATTGGAGCCAGGAAGAAGAGAACACTTCAGCTCAATGGAGTGGTGAGTAGAGCCTTGTCATGAAATTTTTTCATCAGTTATATAAGTGCAATATTATACTCCATTACAGAATAACATGAATAACTTTATTTAATAACTTTATTTACATCCCTTTATTAATCTGGAGTGACACAGTGGAATGAACCACCAACTATTCTGGCATATGTTTTATGCAGCGGATGCCCTTCCAACTGCAACCCATCACAGTGTGCATGTTCTCCCCGTGTTGGTGTGGGTTTCCTCCGGGTGCTCCGGTTTCCCCCACAGTCCAAACACATGCGCTATAGGGGAACTGGGTAAATTGATAAATTGACCGTAGTGTTTGAGTGTGAATGAGAGTGTATGGGTGTTTCCCAGTGATGGGTTGCAGCCAGAAAGGCATCTGCTGTGTAGAACATATGCTGGATCAGTTGGTGGTTCATTCCACTGTGGCGACCCCTGATAAATAAAAGGGACTAAGCTGAAAAGAAACTGAATGCATCTGTATATGACTGTGTTGTTGCCTCATTGACCGTCTCTAGTACAGATGACAGTTATTTTCACCTTTAATGGATCTGAAATCAGTGCATGGATTTATTGCCAGGCTCAACTTCTCTATCTACCACTCATTAAAGCTCCTGCTGATGAAGAGCAGAGCAGTAAATAAGCACTGTGCTCGTTAATGCAGTCAGTCGGGTATATGCAGGTCCATGCACACGCCTCTCAGGAATACACAGCATCAGCATCAGATGATTTAAACAACTATTCCACACTTTTATAATGCGTCTCTGCTGTCAGTCTCGCACATGTGTGTGTGTGTGTGTGTGAGTGTGTTTGAGCTGAGAACAGCACACAGATCATGTTCTCCAGCTCTCTGAATATGACCAATTCAGGCTTTTCATCCTAATTGTGGTGTTTTGCTGACTGTCGCTTTAAATGCAAATGAGATCTTGCTCTTTTCAGAAGAGGGCGGAGCTACAGATGGCCATGCAACAGATGTGAAACTGCAGCGTGTGTGTTGTGAGTGCTGCTCATGTGTGTTTCAGTGTGAGTGTGTGTTTGATGTCGCTCCTGTCGCTATTCATCTACACCTCCACATCTATAATGCTCTTAGTCTATGCTGACATCATCTTCAGCAGCTCAAACACTCTAATGGCTAATGGACAGACGGCTGCTTCTCACTCAGGGCTGCTGGACATGCTAATGAGATGGAGACTAGTGGGCGGGGCTTTCCCCCTCTGATGACACGTACAAAGAGAGAATCACAGTGTTTCTGCATCAAGTCTGATTATAATACACACAGTTCAGTCATGTTGAGCATCAGAGGCTGCTGGAGATCCTCACACACTGCTGAGCTTGAACCCCTTATAGTAGAGATGTCTGCATGACAGCAGTGTGCTGTAGATCCTCCACGTGTGTATGTGGAGTGTTGACGAGAGCTGTCTGAGCGAGGTGTAACGTTCAGAGACGCAGCGTCTGGGAAGAATCACTTGGTCGTCGGCTCATTTGGCACTGAATTATTGAGCTGTGAATTATTATCCAGCTCCTTGGATGCATATTTAAGTCTATGGCTGCGGCCCAGAGCGCAAACAAAGCTCTCGGGAGACGATGTGAAGGGCACGTCATGTACTCCCGCAGCACTGCACACCAGTCAAAGCGGAGCTGAGGAGAAGAAAGCAGACTTTACGACAGCGCTAAAGTTTTATGAAGTCTCCGAGGGAAGCGTACTGAACTCTGGAGCAGTGCGCCGGATTACAGGGCTGTTGCTATGGGGACTGGTGATGCAATGACATCATCATCAGCATCATCATCCCAGAGCATTGAGCAGCTGGTGTTGTTTATGACCCTGTTTACACGTGAACACTTCAGCCACTTTTTTCTAATGGCATAGCTCTCTGAACATGAGGAGGACAGGGGTAATGTTTAATGAATGATTCAAATCCACATTCTGGATGAAGCTGGACTGAACTAGAGGACTGTGATGGTCAAACCACACATGTTAATGTTACTCCTCCTAAAATGTTAGAAGAAAGTTAACATGCAAGCATGTTATGGGGTGTTTCCCAAAGCGGGGGTCACGGGATATGGGGTGGGGGGACGGGGCAGGTGGAGATGGCTTAGTGATTCTTCAGAAATCAAATACATTTTAAGCAGAGTGTTGTCATCTGACCAATCAGGATGCTGCTAAAAGGGATACAGCTGCAGCCGAAAGTTCATTCAGTTTCTTTTCAGCTTAGTCCCTTTATTAATCAGTGGTCGCCACGGCAGAATGAACCGCCAACTGTTCCAGCGTTTTCCATGCTTTACAAAGCGGAGACTCATCCAGCTGCAACCCCGCACTGGGAAACACCCATACATACTTATTCACACACACACGTTCATACAGAGACATACACATGTACACACATATATCTATGATAGGGAGTTTTCCCGGAGGTCAGTATGCAAATATTTTATTTAAATTAGAAATATTATAATTTTACATCACTTTTCGACATCGGTGGATCAGTAATCGCACGGGCATTGCCGACATAGTGCATGTGTTTGTGTGCATGGCAATGTATTATTCTCCCACCCTGTTAAATCTGATGTGTGTGCTGAAACACTCTCCTGCCTTCACTCATACTGACAGAGGGAGCGGTTCATTTGTGAGAGAATCTTCGTTATGAATGACTCCTTCACTCAGCCGACAATAGCACAAGCTTCTGGCTCCGCGGTGTTTTGTGGTCATGTTTTATTTACATTGTTTGCTGATTTTATTCAACTAAAGTAGCATAAGCTTATGTTGATGTGGGTATCCACAGCTGTATCCCTTTTAGACTTTACCGACCAATCAGAGCAGAGTATTGCTTTTGAATTCATTAATATTGAATCAACTGTATACTCGAGTATATGTTGAAGTCCAGCTCGCTTGTTTTTCACACTGAAGGCAGTTGTGTCTGAGTATCAACAGCTCATGAAAGCCATGTGTGTGTGTGTGTGTGTGTGTGTGTGTGTTTGTCTGTGCAGTTGAAGCCTGTTCCTCAGAGTCGAGTGATGGTTTCTGCACGCTTCCTCAAGCCCATCAAAGAGCCCTGCACAATATTGTGAGTTCTGTGTGTGTGTGTGTGTGTGTGTGTGTCATAATGTTAACCTGCACACACTCTTCAGCATGCACTCCTCCAGCCAACACCAAAAGCACAGTCTCTCTCTCTCTCTGTGTGTATGTGTGTTTGTGTTAATATGTGTGTGTGAGTGCATGCGTGTTTGTCTATGCTCATGTGTGTGTGCATGTTTAGTTTTTTGTGTATGCATGTGCATGTTTGTAAGGACATGTGTGTCTGTTTGTGTGTGTGTATGCTCATGCTTGTTTGTACATGTTTATGTTTCTGTGTGCGTGTGTGTGTGTGCATGCATGTTTGTTTATGTGTGTGTGTGTGTGTGTATGTGTGTTGTCAGTATTGTGGCGAATGGAGATGTCCTGAATCCAGCTGTGAGGTGTCTGATTCCCAGCCGTGTGATTGGTCAGTTTGAGCGAATTCTGGAGATGATTACAGAGAAGATGGGCCTGCGGATCGTGGGTGGAGTGCACAGGTACACACACACACACACTCACATTTGGAGTATTGTCATTTGTCAAATCAGAGCAGAGTATTGTAATCCGGCCAATCAGAGCAGAGTATTGTCATCTGACCAATCATAGAAGAGAATTGTC